ATAACACTAAATTATTTTGTCAGCCTGGACTTACATCAGCAGTCTTACTAAAAGGTAAGCATAGTTTCAAAAACAGTTGCCCTAGTCACACCCCCACCCTCTTCAAAGAGAAGTATGGGTTTTCTTTTAAATAAACATTTATACTGATCTAGGTGGATGCAGCATCAATCTGATACTGCATCTGTCCCCTTCAGTTTCTGAGACTGAGAACTGAGTGAGAAAAGACTGCTGATAACTCAGTTCTCAGTCCTCTCTGAGCAGAGAGCAGGAGCCTACCAGTCACTGGCTCTCTGCTCTGCCCCTCCAGCGCTCACTGGAGTCCTGGGCTGTGGAGGGGACAGAAGTGGCTCGCTCAAGCTCTCAGTGGCTTGCTGAGAGATTGTGTCAGCTGCTGGTCCAGGCATCTTGGAGGATCCTGACTGTAAAGTTGTGATCTTTCCCGAGCCTGGAATAGCTGAGTAACATCAGCGAACAGCGAGCTTTAGCACTCCTGTGATCCCCTGTAGAAGTATAGCTAAAATAGCTTTGGCTTTACTTTGTACCCTGCTACTGATCCCAGTGGCTCTTTTACCAGGAGCTGATAGGTGTAGCCCAACTGCATCCTTTCTGTTGATATAGGAAGCTGTAGGAAATCTCTTCAGTGGGGGCACAGACTGCAACAAAATTTTTTTTTTCAGAAAGTTAAATTAAGATTAGATCCTCTGTCAGATAAGTATTACTGTCTGTGTCTTTCTGCCCTGGTGACAACCTCTCCCTTTGTTTATTATCACCAGCAGGGTCACAGACAACAATGAAAACTTGAAAGAAGTATTGTTCTTTCCCAATCTATGAAATTCTCCAATCTAATGAATTATCTGATTGTTGCCTATGTGCCTATGTACTAGGTGTAATATACCATCTTGCTAAACATTTATAGTTCACTTCCACTTTATTCATATCAACTGCACCATGTGCTAATTTAATTTTCCTTTTTTGCTGTTCATTCAATTGTGTTCCAAGCTCCTTTCCCATTTCTCCACCAACAGTGGAAAAACAGGTCCAGAAAATTATAGTAAGTATCTTATAGATGCGAGAGGTACCATGTTTTTGTATCGTACTCTGAATGGTCTAGTGGTGTACCCCAAGGTTCAGTGTTGGGACCCTTACTTTTAATATATTTATAAACGATATAGGGTCTGGGATTAAAAATCCCATTTCAGTCTTTGCAGATGACACCAAGCTGTGCAGTGGAATACCGTCCTTACACGATGTGTCCAACTTACAAGCTGACCTTGATGCACTGTGTAATTGGGGAACTATGTGGCAAATGAGGTTCAATGTTGATAAATGTAAGGTTATGCACTTGGGGGCTAAGAATATGCATGCATAATACATACTAGGGGGCGTACAATTGGGGGAATCAATGGTGGAGAAGGATCTGGGGGTTCTGGTAGATCACAAGCTTAATAATGGCATGCAAGGCCAAGCTGTGGCTTCTAAAGCGAGCAAAATCCTCTCTTGTATTAAAAGAGGTATAGACAAAAAGAACATTGGGGAACTGGAGAAAGTACAGAGAAGAGCAACCAAACTCGTAAGAGGCATGGAGGAGCTCAGCTATGAGGAAAGATTAGAGGAACTGATTGTATTCTCTCTTGAGAAGAGGAGATTAAGAGGGGATATGATCAACATGTGTACATCAGTGGTTCATATAGTGAACTCAGTGAAGAGTTCTTCACCTTGAGGTCATCACAGAGGACAAAGGGGCACTCTTTACGTCTGGAGGAAAATAAATTTAATCTCCAAATACGGAAAGGTTTCTTCACAGTAAGAGCTGTGAAAATGTGGAATAGACTCCCTCAAGAGTTGGTTCTGGCCAGCTCAGTGGATTGCTTTAAAAAAGGCCTGGATTCTTTCTTGGATGCAAAGAATATAACTGGTTACTAACATTTATAAGTAAAGTTGATCCAAGGAATACTCGATTGCCTCTCGGGGGATCAGGAAGTTTTTTGTTCCCTTGCAGGAGCAAATTGGATCATGCTTTGCTGGGTTTTTTGCCTTCCTCTGGATCAACTGTGGGTATAGGATTATAACTTTTTTTTTTATGGTTGAACTGGATGGACTTTTGTCTTTTTTCAGCCAGACTAACTACTGTATGTAACTATGTAACCTGAAATGAACATTTGTTCAAATGGATACAGATTCTCTACTGTTCTTAATGGCTGTGGAAGTGCTGCAACAAAGTGTCTTAATTGGTAATATTGCCACTCATCTAATATAAAAAGCAATTCCATTTTGTGTTTCAATTCCAGAAAAGAACATATTTCCCCCTTTTTCATAATATCCTTTAATTGTGCATTTCTATCTTTTATCCATTTTCCTGCTATGTTGTCTTTCCCTGGCGGGAAGTAATTTGTTCCCACCAATGGTATTAGCAGGGAATTATACTCCCACCCCATTTGCTTATGAATTACATGTCATATGCTAATTACATTCTATGTTAAAGTGCTTGTATTTTCAGAAAACATACGAAACTGTTGTGGAACCTGTATAATTCTATCTAAGTGTGCCTCACTTACTGTACTTTCAATCTTTACCCACTTTTTCCCCTGTGCATTATATACCCAATATGCTACCCATGATATTAATACAGAATAATATCTCTTAAAACCCGGCACATTTAAACCCCCATCTGTTTTATCTTTACACAGAACTTCATATTTTACTCTCTGCTGTTAATTTACCCATATATACTTAGGTATCATTTTTTTTAAGACCCCAAAATATATCAAAGGTAGATGTATCAGGATATCGTATGTACTCTCCAGCGCCTCAGGATATGCACAGCCAAAAGGGAAGCCAAGGGTACTAGGACAGCGACAACCAAAGGAAATGTTCCAGGGGTGCAGCCCTCCTCAGACGGAGAAATCAGCCACTGGATAGAGAGAAAACAGGTGGCACAATTTAATTATTTAGGATGCATCAACAGCGAGGCTCTTTCTTTCCATACATCATACATCAGCATCAGAGGTTGGTCATCAGCTCTGAGGAAAGGGATTCGTCCCCGAAACGCGTCAGCATTTGACCGCACTGACAGTGAGAACACCTTGCCCGCCATTGTGGCCATTGTCATTTTTCTATGCTTTTAGATACATGCTTCGTCTGTGAGTATGTTTTTATTATTTCATTCCTACAATAAACCTTGGATAATGCACTAGGTGTGTGCGCCACCTGTTTTCTCTCTATCCAGTAGATGTATCAGGAACATATGAAATTTATATAACATTTTTGACACTATCACCAACTTCACCATATTTATTTGTCCAACCCAGGAAAGTGATCCTATTGAGATTTTCCTCAGTTCATCATTTATCTCCTTTATTAACGGAATGTAGTTTGTCTGATATATATTCTTAAGGGATGAGGTTAATTTTATTCCTAAATAATTAAATTCTTTTTCCCTCCATGTAAACAGAAATAATTTTTGTAAGGCCTTTTTCTCTGTCCTCGGGACATTCATATTTAATATCTCTGACTCTGAAAGATTCATTTTTAAATTTGATAATTCTCTGTAATATTTTAATATTCTCATTAAATTTGGTAATGTTACCTAGGGTTTACAACGTAAAATAACATTTTGTCTGCATATGCTGTGACTTTATGTTTCACATCTCCAATCTGAATTTCTTTTACATCTACACTGTTTTGTGCTGTCTCTAACAACGGCTCCAGGGATAGGACAAACAGCAGGGGAGAAAGAGGGCATCCCTGCCTTGTTCCATTATGCATTATAAAGGGTTGTAACAATGAACCATTGGTCTTCATAGCTGCTGAGGGATGACTATATGGAGTTTTTATCCCCTGGACCATTTTAGGTCCTATTCCTAGTACCGCCAATGTATTGTTAGGAATGGACTGGCCAGCAATGGTGGGACTCACCTGCCTTTTGATCTGCAGTACCAGGGCTGGCCAGCGGGTGTTCCCAGCAATCAGAGACTCAACCTTTCAGCCAGCTAACACCTGGAACTGATGATACTGGGGTATTTAAGGGATGGCCAGACTTGCAGACTCTGCCTTGGTGTTGTGTTTGTCCTGGGCCCTGTATCTGTCCTGCATCCTGTTTCTGTTCCTTTGCTGACTTCTCCTGCTCTGATCCTGGCTTGTGACCCTGACCATCCCTCTGTCTGACCCTCTGTACTACGCTGCTTGCTACCTGTTCTGATCCCTGGCTTGTGACCCGGACCATCCCTCTGCCTGACCCTCTGTACTATGCTGCTTGCTACCTGCTGAACCTGGCCTGTGACCCCGACCATTCTCCGCTTGCTCCCCCTGTACCTACCTGCCCAATTGATATTGACCCGGCCTGCCTGACGACGCTTGCTTGTATATACTGTTATCTGTGGGTGGTTTGGTTTGGTTTGTTTGCACCGTATTATGTTTTAGTATTGCACTGCGTTTATGTTTGTACTGTTAGTGTTAATAAATTATATTGTTTATAACATATCTGAGGTCTGCGTTTCCCTGCTTCAGTCACACACCTCTGGTCACACCTGGGAGCCCTGACATTACACCAAGGCCAATCCTGACCAGAAGTGGCTGCACAGGGAAGCCATCTTGGCTTGTTGATGGGAAGGATGGATCTTGAGGAGGTTGAGTATTTATATCTGCTAGTGTTTGATGACAGGGAGTATGCTTATCAAACTCTGAAGGAGTATACCCGGGGGCCCGAGACCTGTCGCTCCGCCTGAGGGCCCGAGACCTGTCGCTCCGCCTGGGGGTCCGGCACCTGCCACTCCGCTTGAGGGCCCGAGACCTGTCGCTCCTCCTGGGGGTCCGGCGCCCGCCGCTCCGCCTGAGGGCCCGAGACCTGTCGCTCCACCTGGGGGTCCGGCGCCCGCCGCTCCGCCTGAGGGCCCGAGACCTGTCGCTCCATCTGGGGGTCCGGCGCCCGCCGCTCCGCCTGAGGGCCCGAGACCTGTCGCTCCTCCTGGGGGTCCGGCGCCTGCCGCTCCGCCTGAGGGCCCGAGACCTGTCGCTCCTCCTGGGGGTCCGGCGCCCGCCGCTCCGCCTGAGGGCCCGAGACCTGTCGCTCCGCCTGGGGGTCCGGCGCCTGCCGCTCCGCCTGAGGGCCCGAGACCTTTCGCTCCACCTGGGGGTCCGGCGCCCGCCGTCCGCCTGAGGGCCCGAGACCTGTCGCTCCATCTGGGGGTCCGGCGCCCGCCGCTCCGCCTGAGGGCCCGAGACCTGTCGCTCCTCCTGGGGGTCCGGCGCCCGCCGCTCCGCCTGAGGGCCCGAGACCTGTCGCTCCGCCTGGGGGTCCGGCGCCTGTCGCTCCGCCTGAGGGCCCGAGACCTGTCGCCCCGCCTGGGGGCCCGGTGCCTGTCGCCCCGCCTGGGGGCCCGGTGCCTGTCGCCCCGCCTGGGGGCCCGGTGCCTGTCGCCCCGCCTGGGGGCCCGGTGCCTGTCACCCCGCCCGGGGGCCCGGTGCCTGCTGCTCCGCACGGGGGCCCGGTGCCTGCTGCTCCGCCCGGGGGCCCGGTGCCTGTCGCCCCGCCCGGGGGCCCGGTGCCTGTCGCCCCGCCCGGGGGCCCGGAGCCTGCTGCCCCGCCCGGGGGCCCGGTGCCTGCTGCTCCGCCCGGGGGCCCGGTGCCTGCTGCTCCGCCCGGGGGCCCGGTGCCTGTAGCCCCGCCCGGGGGCCCGGTGCCTGCTGATCCGCCCGGGGGCCCGGTGCCTGCTGCTCCGCCTGGTGGCCCGCTGCCTGCTGCTTCGCCTGGTAATCCGATGTGCCCTCTGCCCGGAGTCCTGCCCGATGTGCCTCTGCCCGGAGTCCTGCCCGATGTGCCTCTGCCCGGAGTCCTGCCCGATGTGCCTCTGCCCGGAGTCCTGCCCGATGTGCCTCTGCCCGGAGTCCTGCCCGATGTGCCTCTGCCCGGAGTGCCCTGCCCGATGTGCCTCTGCCCGATGTGCCCTGCCCGATGTGCCTCTGCCCGGTGTGCCTCTGCCCGGTGTGCCTCTGCCCGGTGTGCCTCTGCTCGATGTGCCGCTGCCCGGAGTCCAGCCCGGTGTGCCGCTGCCCGGAGTCCTGCCCGGTGTGTCAGTCTTTGATATCCCGCCAGTTGCCAGACCCGGGCGGTGGAACATTTTGCCCAGCTAGGACTGTTTGGAGCGTCCTGAGGCCGCTCCTTGAGGGGGGGGTACTGTTAGGAATGGACTGGCCAGCAATGGTGGGACTCACCTGCCTTTTGATCTGCAGTACCAGGGCTGGCCAGCGGGTGTTCCCAGCAATCAGAGACTCAACCTTTCAGCCAGCTAACACCTGGAACTGATGATACTGGGGTATTTAAGGGATGGCCAGACTTGCAGACTCTGCCTTGGTGTTGTGTTTGTCCTGGGCCCTGTATCTGTCCTGCATCCTGTTTCTGTTCCTTTGCTAACTTCTCCTGCTCTGATCCTGGCTTGTGACCCTGACCATCCCTCTGTCTGACCCTCTGTACTACGCTGCTTGCTACCTGTTCTGATCCCTGGCTTGTGACCCGGACCATCCCTCTGCCTGACCCTCTGTACTATGCTGCTTGCTACCTGCTGAACCTGGCCTGTGACCCCCGACCATTCTCCGCTTGCTCCCCCTGTACCTACTGCCCAATTGATATTGACCCGGCCTGCCTGATGACGCTTGCTTGTATATACTGTTATCTGTGGGTGGTTTGGTTTGGTTTGTTTGCACCGTATTATGTTTTAGTATTGCACTGCGTTTATGTTTGTACTGTTAGTGTTAATAAATTATATTGTTTATAACATATCTGAGGTCTGCGTTTCCCTGCTTCAGTCACACACCTCTGGTCACACCTGGGAGCCCTGACATGTATTTATCATAAATCTGCAGTCTACCCTGTCGAATGCTTTTTCAGCATCTATCAACAGGATAAGTACTGGGGATTTCTCCCTCTTACTATTTTGCAGGAGGAGCAATGATCTTATCCATTGTCTCTTTCTTCTCTTCCTGGAATGAACCCCACCTGATCTAAGTGTATCCATTCCGACAAAAAGTCTTTCATCTTAGTCACTAAGACCTTTGCATATATTTTTGCGTCAATATTAAGCAATGATATTGGTCTGTAGCTGGCACATTAGAACAGATCTTTCCCCTCTTTAGGTATGATTGCAATGTGTGCCAGCAACAACTCCCTTATTTCCATCCCTTCTCCTATTGCATTCATATATATACACATTTTATGGACTAGTTGTTCTTTAAATTTCCTATAATATCTCACTGTATAACCATCCAGTCCAGGACTCTTCCCTGCAGCTGTACTCTTTTTAGTGCAGCTTGAATTTCTTCCTGTGATATTGGTTTTTTCCAAGGTTACTAATCTTTCTTCTTCTAATCTAGGCAATCCAGTTTCTTTTAAATATATCTGCATTTTTCTGGTTCTTTCTACCTCCACTTCTTTTTGATTCTTAGGTTTTACTGCATATAACCTACTGTACTATTTTTTAAATACACTAGCGATTGCAGTGGTTGAATATACCATTTCTCCTGTCTCATCTCTAATTCTCTCTATAAAATTTACTAATTTCTTTTTCCTTAACCTCCTCACTAAATATTTTCCTGGTACAGTTTGGGTTGAGGTCATTAATGACTACTTCTGTTGTTGGAGTAAGGTTAGAGTTCCATTTCTGCACAATATTGAGTTTTAGTGGTTAGTAATATATGCTAAATAATTGTTCTAGAGACTATGCGGATCTTTTCAGCAGTAGTGCTTTTATTTTACCGATCTACTCTTCATGATGCTGTTATTTCTACTTGTATAGTTCAAGATAAGACATTATTTCCAAACTTCAGTAGATAAAATATGTGTTCCAATAAAGGTACTCTTGTCTTCTTATCTGAGGTATAATAACACTTCTAATCTCCCAATTATGTGTCAACTCATGTTTTCACCTTCAAGACTCCTTAGCTGGCTCTCCACTCTTTTCTTTTTTATTCACTTTTTCAACAGTCCAACTTTCCTCCAGGAGATTTCCCAGCCAGCTTATTTTACCTCCTTGATACCAATAATTATTTCCTTTGAGCCCACTGAGGGACCCCCAATTACTCTCCTTTTCTTTTAGGACTATTCACCACTGACCACCAGGCGCATCTATTCCACCTCCACTCCCGATAACTATGTAATAGTAAAAACCTTGGAACTCACCGCTCCCTGCAGTTCTTTACCACCATATTCAGTCCTTTCCACCTCTCTGGTTCTAGCGTTTCCAGTGTCCGTGCTGTGAGGTACCGTGCCTTACTCTCAGTCCTCATCCTGTCTCATTGCGGTGGTCTGGGGTGGTTGGAGGTCCCCCGCTGTGGGTTTTTGTTGTCTCCAGTCCTGTCAGCTCCAGTCCTGGCAGTGCCTCCCAGAGATCCACACGGCAACCCGTGACAGCTCCCCGAAGCCACCACTCCACCACCCATCTCCCATCCGCTTGGGGGACAGACTCTCCTCTCCTCCAGGGGACAATCCAGAGATGCTGCTCAGGTAGAAGGTGACACAGGGTAGGGTAGGATAGGGTTCCAGTACTGATTCAGGTTTTCCTGCTCATGTTTCAGCTGATACGGGAGCTCCCAATCCATGCACCCTGTTGGCACATGTTCAGGCCCCTCCTTCTGGAACCTTACACTTTTTATCTTTCAATGCTGCTAGCTCCTGCTCTCTCAGTTCTGTTTCCCTGAACTTTTGGTCTTCATAGGAAGTTCTTAACAGTGGACTGTGAGTCTGGAACCTGTCTGTTAGCTTGGAGATGAGAGAAGCAAGTAAGTGCCTTCCCATCCTAGGCTCCAGGGTTGTGTGTCTCTATTGCTGCACACAGTGTAGGAAAACACAGCTCTAGTCCCTGCATGCAAGGGTGGCTCCATAGGGTGCTGCAAATGAAAGGAACTGCCCTAAAACCGGTAACCTGGGGCAGTGATCACTTGAACATAGGTAACAATTAAAAGATAAAGAAGCTGCAGACTGATTAAATAATTAGCTGCAAAAGTGCCCCCAAACATAGGGCTAAATGTCATGTTAATGTATAGGGGGCAATGCTTGTACCATAGCCTTGGTTCATAACCCTACATTCAATTTCATTTGACATTTAACTGCCTAATCTACCATTATGTCAAAAGTAGGGCTGAGGTTCAGGTTTACAACTACCATGGGTTTGAGGTGAATTCTGCATGTTCAAGATTTGATATCCCACCAAACGTATGCTGCATTTCTCCCAGCTGAGTTCTTTGTAACCACAATGCATTGCAAGGCCATTATAGTTAGGTCAGCTCACTTAGAGGGGACATTAATTAAGGCTTTGTTATGTGCCAGCCCCCTCATTTTAAAGGAGGGGAGGGGCACAGAGCAGCCATAGTGTCAGTGTAATAAAAGTTTAGGAAAGGTTAGGGTCAGTCAGGAAACCATTCTTTATTTCTGAAGGTCTCTCTTAAAAAAGTGTGCTTTAGTTTCATGGGGTATTATCTTAGGGTTTTCATTGATTTAGGAGTTATATTAATTTGTAATGCATGTTGATAGGGCCTTTATTTTTTTTGGGGGGGTGAACTTTTAAGGTTTTTTTTTTTTTTTTTCGCTGCAAGGGTTTCAGGGGTCATACCTTGGGGTATTCTTGATTTTTATTGCTTTTTAAGATTGATGTGCTTGAAGTACAGCATTCATTATTGACCATCTGTCTTGGAGCTGATTTTTCTCACAGCATGCAACTGCATCATTTGAAAGATAAATGAAACTTAATGCAATAACAAGGTTCACATAAACCATATCACAGCATATCACTCACATTCACTACACCCCCACCCCATCCTCATAGTAAGCATAAAGTTAGGTATTCATTAAAAATGTCCTGCTATCTAATCCGCCATACACAAGTGTTGATGTCGTACATAATTGACCCAGCACCCTACAGTATGACTTCTATGAACAAACCACATCCAATTTAAATGACAGCTCCAACTTTTACAACAAGTTGCTTGATAAATCCTCCTTTAGGAAACTTTCAATGATCTAGGCAAGGCTATTCCTACTCACAAATGGAAGAAAAACAATGGGTGTGATAACAAGAGGTGCCATCGTCCCTATCAAAATATATGTGGAAAAACTCTCTTTTTATGGTAACCGCAAAACAAAAGGTGTAGTTTTTTTGCTAACCTGTGATTGCAGTTGTTTCTATTTAGGAAAAACCAAATTGGAGTTTTGGTTACATACAAAGGACAAAAAAGAAAAAGAAAACAGAAAGGAAGAAAGAGGTAGGAGGGAAGGAAAAATGGAAATACGGCAGTCATATCCACATAAGATCATATACAATAAATGGCATTTATGAGTAAACAACAAAATAATATCTAAGTAAAAAACAACAAACAAAAAAGCTTTTTTGAAAAAAAAAGAGAAGGAAGGGGAACAAAATAGCTAGATTAAAGCGGGAAATTTGAGATAATAAAGAAAGTCCATAAAAATGAGTGGGAAATCAAAGGTCCTTTTCACATTTTCCTCAAACAAAGCCTTCCAAAAAAGACTTGAAAGACATAGATAAATTTAGGCCAGGAAAGGTAGTGGCATTTAATCTATGAATCCATCTGAGCTCACTCTGAAGCAAGCTCTTGTTCCAATCGCTACCTCGTGGGC